AGTTAAACTACTGATAACTTTGAAAACGCAGCTTTATTTCTACAGTTATGCCTACCCTCCACACTAATCCGTCACGAAAATGGAGCTGTTTCGAAAACGCCTTCAAACCTTCAAACGCCGCCGGCTTTGCGTTTTATTGTGGATGGAAAACATTTTGAAAACGAAGCTTTTCAAAAAATAACGATGACGTCACGATAATCACGTGATTTTCCTCAAACACAAATCCAAAATGACCGGTGACCGTTGCGTTTTTAAATTCCTGCAACATAGTGTGGACGGAAAACATTCGTTGCTCTTTCTGAGTGAAAACGCTGTTTTCAAATTTCCCTGGCGTAGTATGATAGACCAATTTCGATATATTAATATTCAGCTTGATAGAGAGGCCTGGAGGACACAAACAAAAGAAATGAATAAACATGCTCACTCAATTTCCTTTGTTTGTGTCTTCTAAGCCTTACTGCCACGCTGAATTTTAATATATCGAAAACGGTCCATTACGTCGATGGGGCCTTAGTCGCTCATGACTCGTGACACGTTCTGCACCAATTGGGAGATAAGTTAATAAACGTCATTTACATTTTGTGTGTTTGTGTGCAAATGTATGAGAAGTATTGAATGTGAAAACCTCAAAAAGTGCCGAAACAAGTCCGAGTGTTTCAGTTACGAAATACTGATAATCAATCAAAGAACGCCGAGCGATTTTGCAATACCGGCCCACTCATGCGATTAACACATCTCTCAACGCTTTTGAGAATGAAGCATGTAGAAACAAAAGGAACCATTCAAATTCAATTCAATGGCCCGGTATCCTACAGTCTGGCCTTTTGTTTTTCAAGATCACTTTGTGAAATTCTTATGTCGCCTCGATATTTTCACTCATGCCTTGAAAAAGATGAAACGAACATCGAAACGTCGGGCTACAATAATTTTAATATTCGTTGGGTTAAGCGAACTAACAGTTTGCAAAAATTGATGCCAGTACCTCGCCTAATCATGCACAAAAAAATGCCCGTGGAAACAGTATGAAAAGTCGATGGATTGAAATCGATGTATATTATAAAATTTCAGGTTAAAAAAAGACAAAAAAAACAAGCAAACAAGCAGATCATGAGCTCAGCTACAACCTGGTTTAATAGCCATAGTTTTTTTTTATTGATTCTCAAAGAAGTATTTGTCTAATTGTCCGTGTTTAATTTACGTGGGCAGGGGAAAAAATGCATCTCAGACGAATAATTAACAAAAAGACCGACACCCCAAGGGTTTGACGCTTACGTCTACAGCAAACTTCAGTGGCAAACATTATCTCTGATTTTATGTTCTTTTCTTCTCTAATCAAATTCATGTATGACGCATAACTTAAAAGCAAGTTGATCATGGGTTCGGCTTCAACCTGGTTTGATATCCATGGTTCAGTTTTGATTCTCAAAGAGGTATTTGTCTAATTGTCCGCATCATGACGTGGGCTGAAAAACTTGTATCTCAGACGAATATTAACAAAAAACGGATAGTTGAGGCAGCGTGGCCGAGTGGTTAGGGTGCCGGACTTGAAATCCGGAGGTCTCGGGTTTAAGCCCCGCTCTGACCACTTAGCTGGAGTTGTTTCTC